CTTCATTGTTGATGCTATGCGCCACCAGCGGCAATTATTAACAATTATTATCGTCGTCGCATGCATCGACTGCCCAAAACCGCCAACGCCGTGCCGATCCAGGCAAATGTAAAAAAAGCATGCAAGTAGATTAAATGTACAGTAGCTCAAGGGGCTAGTGGAGACTGTTTTGGCAACGCGTCTACCGACACAGGATTTACTTGGTCTTGATGGAGGTTTGTAGCTCCGTGCCAAAAATTTGATCCCAGAACTTGCTGGTGACGCCAAAGCCCAGTTCATAGTCGAGAAAGTGATGGGCAAGATGGTACTTCTTTAACTGCTTGTACCACAAGGGCAGGTTCGTGTGATGCAGGAAGTAATGTGTTAGGTCATAGCAGACGTAGCCAAAGATGCCGCCACAGTAAACAGCAGTAGCCGCATGCCAACTGTAAAAGAAGATGGCGTGGGCTAGCTTCCAGAATGGAGAGGCAAGGATGACAAACAGAGCAGGAGGCATAACCAATCGATACTTGTCCATTGGGAGATAGTGGTGGATTCCATGGAGCAAAAAGTGCATTGTGATGAAAACGCGGTTGTCTGGGAGGTAGCTATATCCACGTGTCAGCGGCCTGCGGTATCGGTGGCGATGAATTAGGAAGGACTTACTCATCTAAGTGGAACAGGAATCGGTGAAGACAGTATTCTACAAAGGTCCAGAAAAAGACACCGAATACCCAGTAGCCACCCAGGACAAATGGATTCTGAAGCCCCTGGCTAGCGACAAAGGTACCGTATGCGACGAAGGGCAGCCACAAGGACGGGACAATCCACCAGGGAGTCTTGGTGAGTGGCTCTAAGAAGTTGCCGAAGAGAGGCGCGGATTCACCACCCTTGTAGTGACGAGGGCGATGAACTTGGTCTAAGTAGAAGGCTTTGCTGAAGCCGCCGTTCCAAACCTGCAGGAACAGAGGCCTGCTTAGGTCCAAAAACTTGTGCTTCTTGAAATCCTGGTTATAGTCGGTGTCCTTGCTAAGGTCTTCCTCACACGACATGCCGGTTCGCGGGTGGACGAATGTGGCATCTTGGGAGGTTGCGGTCCCGTTGGCAGGTTTGACAGAGCCATTGGCGGCGGGCGACTTCTCGTTGACGACAAAGCCGACGAGTGAATCGTCAAGCACCTCGTATGCAGCCTCAGAGTGAGGGTGCGACGTGGGGTCCTTCAATATCTCCTCGACATCTTTGCCAGCATATTCAATGATCAAGCTGCCACCACCAGGGTGGTCATCGACAAAGTCAGTCACATCGTAGACTTTGGACCCAATGGTAACATAGCACGAGGAGGCAGAGTTGTGCGCCTCGACCTCTGCGCGAGTAAATGTAGGCAGCGTCCTGGCCGGCATCGTGGCGTTTGGTAATGCTCGGTCGGTTCGGGATGGGCAGGCAGTTGGTCCGACGGTGAAGATATTTGGAGGTCGCGCCACAGGAGTTTAGAGGGGAGCTGGGAATCGATGTGTGCGCTCTTTCAGGGTTCGACAAACTAGTACTGAAGTAGAACAGAAATGAAGGATAAAGAACAAAGGACGAAGATGTGTGCAGGGCACGGGAAATATTAGAGCGGGCGAGACATGAGGATGGTGAATGGCAAAAGCGAATCATGCGACGGTATTTTGGGCAGGAAGATTTTAATGACGATGCTCCTTTGGTCTTAGCGGTGCCGCGCCCCTAAATTGACAAAGCTTCGAGGCACCGGTACAACACATGCACCAGCACGCATTGAAGGTAGGTACTCTGTGGTAGTGGCTCTTTAATGTTGGTACTTGGGAAAACAAGGCTGCAGTGCGGCCGCTAATTACAGGAACGAGCGGGTGCCGAGGACGCAAAGTGGCGTTACTCTGGGTCGATTTGTTGAAGGTGTCAGTCACTGGCGACTGAGACTCTAGGGCAGAAGTGAGCAGGAATAGGCTATATGTACTCCGTAACTAAGCATTTGTCAAATGGAAACCCGGACAATCTCCACCCTCCGCCTCGTACGTACATGCTATTATGGGCGACTGCAGATTGTAGCGTGGCTGGTATCAAGGGAGACTTGGAAAAAAGTTGCATGATTCTGTGGCTAGAGCATCCGAGCAGGCCGAGGAGAAGCAGGTGTTGGTGCAATGCACGGCGCCCAGTGCAAGGCGCACAGTGCATGGAACAAGTGAAGCATAATAGTTAATAGGCACAAGATTCTGAACTTCTGATATTGACATCTGGACTCTTGCCCCAGAGCACAACTACTGCCTGCCCCTCGGGCTCCGTTCATCTAACCTCCAGATTCAGTACAAACACCAAGAGCTAGCTTATTTGTCTTTTCGCCAACACCCCCTCTATTGCCTCCGACGACTCATCTGCCAGGAATCTTGAATGGCCTAGAGCTTGGCACCGCCATCAGCCCGACTGTGCGCATCTTGAAAGAGGGTGCCATTCAGATACTTGAGCCCCGAGTCCACGGCAACCGTCACCACCGTCTTGCCGGGTCCTAATTCCTTTGCCAGCTGCAAAGCAGCGACGACATTCAGGCCCGAGGATGTCCCTACGAGAAGGCCTTCCTCCCTCGCGAGCCGGCGGCAAATCGCGCGCGCCTGTTCCTCGTCGATAGCTCGAACTTCATCATACAGATCCCGATTGAGGTGCTGTGCGACGAAACCCGGGGCAACACCCTCAACAGAATGTGTTCCCGTGACGCCCTGGGTCAGTAACGGCGCCGACGCAGGTTCGAGAATGACAATTCGTGTCGACGGGGACTTTGACCTAAACACTCTTGCTACGCCCATGGCCATCCCGGCCGTACCAACGGCTCCGCAGAATGCATCAATTCCCCCAGGAACTTGTTCAACCAGCTCGTGACCAATGCCTTCGTATCCAACCAGAGCGTCTTGATTGATGAACTGGTTGGTGTAGTAATGGCCTTGCTCCCGGCCGATTTCTGCAGCTCGCTTGTTCATCAAAGGCAGCAAGTCTGGCGTCAGCTTTCCAGATGGACTATGTGTAATGTCCAGTTCTGCTCCCAACGCAGTCATCGACCGCAGCTTCTCCACAGCGACGGCGTCGGAGCACAGAACCCGGAATCGATAACCCTTTGCAGCGCAGACGAATCCCAGCGACGATCCAGTACTGCCGCCCGTGGCTTCAACCACGGTCATGCCGGCTTTGAGGTCCCCGCGCTTCTCGGCTTCCTCAATCATCGATTTTGCCATTCTGTCCTTGTAGGATCCGGTAGGATTGTAAAACTCCAATTTGATATAGACATTGGCGTATCCGGCCGGTACGACGTGCTCGAGCTGCACCACAGGTGTCTTTCCAATTGCGTCCAAGATGGAGCCCACGGCAGCTGGCGCGTGTGATTGCATGGTTTTGGTGTGTTGTGAATCCAAGTGCACAATATCTTGTACGTGAAACATCAGGAGCGGGAGGGAAAAAAACCTTCTCGGGAGGGAAAAAAACCTTCTCCCCGCCCAGTCTAATTATTGATGTGCCTCAGCGTCATGTACGCGAGCATGTAAAGCAAAGGGCGTGAGACAGGCGGGAAACCATTCGCGCCTTCTATCAACACGCAGTAGAATGGTCGCCACACATGTGCAGAGAGAATCCACTTCATCGACAGTCTGTGGCAGAATATACTTGCTCCCCGAGAAGTATAGGCTATTATACTGTTTGGTAGTATATTATAGTATAGAGCACGATAGCCAGGGTACCTGATTTTGTCAAATACTTTTTGCCTCCCGCTGTATCCAGGTAGGAACCGTCACACGCATGTGCATCAATGTTGGCCATTAAAGAACACAAGTCCAACATCGAACAGGCAACAAGCAACATACAGTCACTGGACAAAAGTCTCGATAATGACCCATTTTTACACTAAAACTTATACTTTTTAAGTATAAATAAATTAAGATTTTTATACGTGAGTAAATTAATAAAAATTTAAACTTAATAGATAATTAATTTAAATTTACTATTATAATTTTTTCATTATTTTTCCTATTTTTTTAATCATAGAGTTTTAAGCTTAAAAAACGAAAAATCTACTATAACCCAATATAATTAAAGATTCTAATTATAGTGGGTTATAGTAGATGTTATAGGGGATTAAGAGACTAAAAAAATCTACTTATATATTTAACCTTTAATTATAACTGAAGTACTTTATTTATAATTATAAAAATTATATATTATTATAATTATTATAAGAATTTAATATAATTTTAGTTTTTATAAATTTTTATTAAAACGTTAAGTAATAATTCATTAATAAAAGTAGTAAGTTTAGGTGTAAAATCGCTAATTATCGTGACTTTTGTCTACCCACTGTACATTGAAGGCAGACGGCCATAGTTCTGGCGGCAGGCCCGTGCTCCGATTGGTCCACAGTCACTAGATGTGTGGACAGTTAGTCGCGCTGCCGCTCAACTATTGTACAGCGACGTTTACCACTCAAGAGGCCCATGCCTCAATGCGTTGATTACGGCTCACGCAAACGCCAACGTTCATCGCCTGTCCGACACCCAGACGGATTCACCGTCTAGCTCTTGGGGGCCTCTCGATCCAACAATCAAGCAGCTCAAGAATTTCCGCATCGCAGTACTCCAGCGTATTTAAGACAACTCAGGCGTTGAAACCCTCTTCTCACGTGACGTTACATCGTGATGCCAGAGGCACGATTACGCCGACCTCCTTACACACACGCGCACTCGATTACACTGGGAGAAAGAAAGCAAAGTTATTTCGCGGACACAACTCAGGCGAGGACAGATCTTCTATTTTATTTATCTCTTCTTTAACACTATGCCGTAATTGAAATTTTAGGGAACGAACAATACAAGCGAGATGAGCTCAAAATGCCCAGGTGAGAACGAAAGCACATTGCAAGTTTTGTCCTTCCCCGTCTTTATTAATAACCCATCATACAGCGCGGCCTTTGACTCGTCGTAGACAGATCAAGGTTAAGCCTCGAGGTTGCCAGCCAAGTTATTCCATTCCTCCTAGTTGTCGTTTCCACACTGCTTCTTGCAGTCCTCGCAGGCGATACATCTAGCCCCAACGGCGCAGTCGAAGCAAAGATCCTTGACCTTGTCGCACGAAGTATACGTCCATTCGTTGTTGTACGTGGACCGTCGGTGTACACACTGGCCATTTCGGGCAGGGGGTGCCCCGTCAACTTTGAAGGTTTGGGAGACCATCCAGGGCTGCCTCCTGCCGTCCTCGCAGACAAAGGCGGCCTTGTACTCGCCGATGCCGAGCTCAGCGTTGTTGAACTTGACGGCGCGGATCTCATCACCCTGGGTGGGCTCGACGTACGACCATGCCTTGAAGTCGGCCGTGTAGGGATTGCAGGCGTCGGCGGACCACACGCCGACCCAGGCCTTCACATTGGCGCCGCATCCGGGGTTCGGGGCCAAGTAATTGATGACGGTTTCGGTGGCGGTTAGCCACTGGCTTGCAATCTCGTTTTTGCTTCCATCCAGCATAGGGCGCGGGATGGCAGGTTTGCCGAGGGCTGGCTGCAGGGCGCCCAGCAGGAGGAGTACGGCCGCGTTTGACAGAAACATGATGGAGGAGAGTAGGTTGCGTGATGAAAGGCGTTTATATGCTCGACAATGCGACGAGAAGTTTGAATGGATGGATTGGTGATGGTAGGTAAACTTGCGAGGAGGGATGCGGCCATCCTTTATATTCTCGCAAACGTGTAGCTGTTTGGCTTGGTCGAGGAGACTTGGCAGTCGGTGAATTTCCCCGACTCACGATGCCCTTCTGTACGACGAGATGTCGGCAAGTGGCATGACTCGGTGGATCTACATCAGGCGGACGCTGTGGCATATGTACAACCATCACCTTATTTAGGCCTGCGTAAATTGATTCATGCAAAGTGGAAGAAAGGACGGGGCCTCTGGAGCGGGTGACGTACACACATGGTGTCTTATTGATCCCTAGTACGAATTCCAACCCTATCCCATCTTGCTGCGGCCAAATTCAACCTGATTATCTAGTTGTTAGTAGAATAGGTTTGTGGTAAAATTGTGTCATGTCAAATCCGCACGTATAAAGGAAAAGCAAGTATATTCGATCCTGCACGCATCTTCCGTGTATAGAATTCTTACTAGAACAAACGACACGCACAAAACATGTCACTCGTATGCGGCGGATTCCCAGTTCGGAGACTTGAATCATTGCGCAAGGGGGGAGGGGAGGCTTGGCATTGAAACACTGAAAAACAGGCTTCATCTATTATCGGTCTTGCCGTTTGGGTTTCCCATCTCATATACATTCTGCCATGGCGAGCCCCTTGACCACGTCTTGGCACGCCTATACTATCTTGGCATGCCTATCTCGTGGCTGGCTTACGACAATGCCAGCGCGTCAAGGATTGCCATGAGTCGCGAGCCGGGTTGCGGCCTCGTCCAAGGGAAGCAACTGGGAAGCATGGCAAGTTGCCTGTTGTCCATGAGGCAAATTAAGCCAGTGGCCAGACATGTCCCCAAGATTTTTCCCCATGACTAGTTGCTGTCCCGAGCGCGAGGTACAACTGCAAGGTGTTGCATAAAGAGCCGAGAGCTTTCGCAGAGCAGAGGCTAATTAGTTTATGCGCGACTGCGTTGAAGGGAAGGAAAGGGCATTGTCTGAATGTGTGGATGGGGGCCGGCACAACTCGACGAACCCGGATAGCTATACACTATTTTCTTGAGCTGCCAAAAATATCAACTGAAGGCTCACGGCTTTCATGCTTCACTTCTTCTGGCCACACGCTTGATCCTGCAAAAGATGGATTTCATAATCGGTGCCTGTTTTGTACAGACATGACCAGAGTCCCGGTGGGGAAAGTAGGAGAGTCATGTATTATGTATATATATTGCAATATTATACTCAATGCTAAGCTGAGCTGAATTTCCCGCAGCATTTATTTCCCTCCACTTGCAGCCTCTTTTTACAGAGGGGGGCGAGGACAACTATACACAACTACCTGGGTGGTATGCTCTCGTGCAATTATCGTGGATCGCCACTTGACAGCTTTTCGTACCTATCTGATGTTTGACGGTGCTGGAGAAGATGGAAGGGGAAAGGTGGAGAAGAAGTGGGTGGTGATAGGTTGGTTGCCACGTTGTTTCCTGTTATCGGGGAAAACAACAACATACGTTGACCTGTCATGATCAGTCTCCATCTGTACGGAGTAAGTAGGAGGCCTCCACTTTAAGTAGCTTAACTTGTCGCATTCCGTTAAGACACCGAAAAAAAAGGGCGTGGCCACGCCATAAAATTTTGTGTGTTATACCCGCTTATATCCCGTGCGACATCAACACTTCCGAATTGGGGTGGACATGGGCTTGGCATTGAACGTCGGGCAGCTCTTCTGTCTAATCATTGGCTGCCGTAGCCCTTATGGAGACTTGATTTCAGGGGTCAGGGGCTACATGTAGCCTCGCATTGCACTGACCGAATAAAACAACCCAGCATGGCCCGATAGAATCTCCAATAAGGCATTGAATTTAACAGGACGCGGAAGAGCGCTAGGACCCAAACAATAAATGAATACCCTCCTTGTCCTACATTTGCATCCTCTGCTCGTGCCACTTTTTGGTTCCATTTTCATCAGCCGCGCTCAAAGAGGTTGTCAGGAGGGTGGTGACGTGGTCATCGTCAATCCATTCGTAATTCCGTCGACTGTTTACTCGACATGTTACCCAGCGAGTTGAAAAAATTGCCCAATGTCATGAGCAGTAATGTAATTAATCACGCCGATTGATTAGCAAGGCATTGGATATTGGATTTGAATTTGAGCCTAGGATGGATCAAGTTTTAGCCATTCGTTGACATGTAGTCACAGGCCGGCTCATGCACACGCAACCTCTTACTAGTACTCCGTAATAATGCATATTTCTCGCCGGTTCACCGCACCATGGCCGTTAATGTGCCATTCGCCCCTTCCGCCGATGACTGGACTATTTGGCCGTAGCAGGGAGGGCCTCCGACGACGTAGACACCGCCGGGGAGTCCTCCTAATTCTCAGAATTCTCCTCTCCTCTCAACGCAAAACGTATCCGCACTTCAAATCCCGGCTGCGTTGGCCGGGTGTGGCTGGATCGTGTGACTCAACACCTGTCGCACGGCCGAGGCCTGGGCAAAGGTATCGGATATCAAAGGTTACACGACAGCAAAGAAGAAGATCGCGAGAGCCCGGACGCGGACGTTGGCAAGGGCCGCCTCAGGCTGCTAAGGCTCACCGAATTCTTGTATATATAGAGACCTCTGGTCCCTTGAGGCCTCTTGGAAACCGGGGACCTTTGACGCCTTAAAGTCGTTTATTAATGACACACGGTTACACGAGGGCTACGATCACGGGACCTAGGGCAGAGGGCCCTCACCGACTTGTTGTATTTGTAGAGACCCTTAGTCCCTCGAGGCCTTGAGAAAAACTAAGGACCTTTGATACCAAAAACTGTTATTAGATGAATTGGCCTATTGACTCCAAGCCCAGTTACCCTGCCATTGGTCACGACGCCTTACATTCATTACAATCGTTGCTCCTACTTCCAGGCCGTGCCCATCTCCGGAACAAGCACTGCGTACTGATTTCCGAGCAGCAGTCAGCCAAGAAACTTGGGCAGGGAATCGCAATTGACAGGTTGTTTAGACAGCAAACCGCAGGACAAAACGAACACAATATGCGGCGGGGGAGACATCTTCGAACCTCTATTAAGATGAGCGTACACAATCAATCGCTAGTGGCCCTATTCCGGCGTATAGCCTTGCCCATAGTCTGGTCGAGTGGTATGCCCTATTTCACACAGTGAACGGTATGGCTCCAATAGTTGTCACACAGAGCCGTGGGCAAGTTCCAAAGCCATGAGAGTCGAGCCTCTTTACCCGTCGTCAGAACTTGATAACAATGCTCAAGGGCTCGCGTACGCAAATCTATTTGAAGCATGGATATCTGGTCTTCCCGTAACCACCAAAGCTTTTCTGTGCGCTGGCGCTCCGCTTTTATTGCCGCCAGACGACCCTCGTGTCGAGGACAAGATTCACGAGTTTTACACCTCTGGTGAATTGAGCAACCACTTCCGCCGGAGACATTGCAATTACGAGACAACCAACAGCCAGTGTGTCAAGTCTACTACACGACTCTCTCACATAAGATGTACCTGCAAAGTCATGCTGTTTTAGTTTGGGGAACCGTCCCGTAAGGCTTTCGGCAGCTGTAGATTGATGATTTATTGGTCCTGTTTTGAAAATACGGCGTATAGCGCCAACCTAGTGTTGGAAATAAGCGGGTTGTTTATTTATGTAATGCCTTGACTAATCATCATGTTCTTCTCAACACCCAATTGTACAAATATCCCCTCATGCCGTTGTAATCGTACATCTCGCACTTGCGTGTTATTACCACCACACGCACCCCTTTAACATGTAAAGCACTGTGGCCATGGTCAGAGCGTGCCCGGATAAAGTGGTGCTTGGAACTAAAAGTGGCAGTGACAGAACCGACTCCTAGTTATTGGATATACATATGCACGCCATTGCCAGGCTCGACTAGAACCCGAAGGTTGTTCTTCTCTGTGCCCACTGCTCAATTCGACGCAGCCAAGATGAAAGCCACGAGAAGAAAAGCCTTCAATCCCGCGCAAATAGTGTCTATCGGTCTCGTGCCGCGTCGATTGAAGACACTCCAAGCACGGGACAGCCCGAGCATGCAAATGATTTACTGAAAATATAAGAATATGGCCCGAATTAGCATACTTATCTAGCCCAACCTGCACGCATTGTCACAGCTCCCAGGTAAACTTTCCACAAGGAACACGGACTACGTCATGACCGAGATGCAAGAAATGTAGTCTCCTCGGTTAGCAGCTGCGCTTGTGCTCCAATGCCCAAAAGATCGTCAAGCTCGACTGTAGGAGCAAACGCTCAACTTGGTAATGGCCTAGAGCAGCATTCTTGGCGTCGATTTTGGCGCCGTTATCTAGGAATAGCTCAACCATGGATTCATGACCACTTTCAACAGCCCAGGCTCGAGGCGCCTGCCCGTATTCACTACCCTTGAACCGACCTCGGCGTCATAGCCTAGAAGCAGCTTCACAATGCCTAATTACCGCGGCCGGCAGCCCATAAAAGCGAAGTCCGACCATAAACACTATCCCTTGAATCAATCTTTGCACCTTTGTTCACTAGCAGCTTGACGACAGCTTCATCACTTACCACGTACTACACTTGAAAAAATAATAAATTTTTTAAATTATTATAAGTTATTAGACGTTTAATATAATGAATGAAAAATTAATAAACTATGTTATAATAATTAAAAAGGCTAAAATGTAGTGTTATTAGATACCCCTTTATTTAACCTTTTTTTTTTCTTATTTTTTTTTATTATTTAATCAATAATGATTAGAATGCCTTTTACATCTTTGAATAGGGACTTTGAGCACTCACTGGGTGAACAGGCGCATCAAATGACGTAGCCCTCGTCCAACGGGCGGCCTCTGTCGCATTGATCAAACCAGTGTTTTCAGCCCCCTGGTGCACAGATCATCGGCACATTGATGCATGCTTAAAGTTTAAAGGCGGGGCAAAGAGACAAGATTCCTTGCGGGGCTGAAAATAGCAGCGTTTTGGCTCAGAGTCGAAATCAGCGTCGACAAGCAGTCCCGGTCTTTTACTCCGTCCCCCAAGTCATCGCAACTTGTTTTCCTCTATACCCCTACCAATTCATCGCGTCTAGCCTGCGATCGCCTGGTTCATCTCGAAACCCACCATCATCTGCCCTTATCAAAGTCTCACATTTCAACTTCCGCGACCGTAGTTTGCGACGTCATGTCATCATTTTCTCTGCCGCGGGGCACGTGGCTCTTGGTGCTCGCCGTCTGCTTGGTGTTGCTTCCTGGCAGGGCTGCCGCCTTTGGTGCTGGAAACATTCCATCCATTGCCCAGGTATGAATGAAGCCGTTATCCAATGTCGAGTTCTAATGCGCACGGCTGACACCATTGCCGTCAGGTCGAAGGACACAACTGGCGCCATGGAGGTATGTTGATTTCAACGTCAAGCTACCCCGCCAAATATTGACAGCCATTGCTTTGTAGATATCGAGGATATGCTCGCCAGTGTCGCCTTCTTGCACGGCAAGAAATGGACCTCCATGTTGATCAAGCGAACCTACTTTGGAAACTGGCTCCGTGATTACTCCCAAGCCGTCGATGTCGGCAGTCTCAAGGGCGTCAACGCCGCCACGATTCGAATCCTCGTGAGTCCCCGAGCAGCCTCATCGCACGCGCCTGCACAGCTAACAAGCTATGTCGAAAAATCCAGGTCTGGGTTCTCTCATTCATGGCTTTCGGCTATGCCACCGAGGAATTCGAAGTCACCGAGGAACGTCTCGGCTGCTACCGCCCAGAGGAGCACATCGACAACCCCCGCGGGTACGCAGATGGCCTCGATGCCCGCACGTTTGACCCCCGTCTCCGCGGTCCCGTCCAGCCCGTCGAAACAGAGATCGATATGAAAACGGGAATGAAGAACTACATTGCCAACGAGACGGGACAATGGGCCACCAGTGCCGGATACATTCGCTTCAGCTTTGCTCGCAGTATCCACTTTGGCCGCCTTTACACCTGTGGTGAGCGTGGAAAGGGCAAGGACGAGAATCTCTGCGAGGCCCTTCGCTGCCTTGGTCAAGCCCTCCATTGCCTGGAGGACTTTGGGGCGCACAGCAACTATTGTGAGCTGGCTCTCCGAGAGCTCGGGTACCACAGTGTGTTCCCTCACTGTGGAACCCAAACCGAGATAAACATCCAGGGCAAGAGGATCTATCCCATAGTCACTGGTACCTTTGGTGCCGTCGACTTCTTGCACTCCGTGATTGGCGAAGCCAATGATCACTTCACTCAATCCGAGGTCGATGAAGTTGATGTGGCTCTCAAAAATGCCGAAGGCGCCCGAAGCGGTCCCGTGACTACAGGTGACAGGGGATTGTTTGACGGCTCTGGTCCAACCGACTTCATCTCGCTGCTCTCCAAGCTCCCTGATGTTGGAACTGGATTTGCCTCCGAGGCAAGAGAGCTGAAGGAAGCTTCTGAAGCCCAAGAGCAAGAGAACCGGCAGAACCAGCAGCGAACTCGTGCCGACAATGTCAACGTCGTACCGGGGATGAGCCCCGATTTCGACCCCGTCAAAACCGCCAAACGCATCTATCCTATCCTGGTGTTCCGCGACAAGATCGTCAAGGCAATCAGCCGTGGTATTGCCAAGATTCCAGGCCTAGAGAAGCTCCTGGAACACATCAGCGAGACCCTGACCGCATTTGTGTTGGGCCTTCTCGCTCCCTTCATCCGACCCATCATAAACTCTGTCACCAAAGTTTTGAAGGATGGCTCATCCGGCGTCATCAGCGCCAGCTCCAAGTCCCAATTGGAGCCGTGGGAGAACAACAGATGCTCTGACCCCACCCACTCTATGCTTTCCAAGGACCACTTCACCAACGTCCTCAACTCTTGTGCTGGCCGAGTTGCCGCTACAATCCTTCAATACGCAGTTCCGTAAGTTCCACGCCCTCAACAATCCAAATAACCACTCACACAAACCTCAGTCGCGTCATCTTCGCCTGGGAAAACCCCAACGTCCCCGTAGACGAGGTCGTCAACGACGTCATCCGAGCCTTCCACCACCCAGCCCTGCGCAACGAAAATATCCAAATCCAGCGCGACATGTTCCAGACGGTGCGAATGTGGGCCGACCAGCACCCGCGTCGCCACGAACTCGACCGCATCCTCTCCTCGGAATCAGTCAAGACGGGCAAGAACCACATCCTCAACGGCGCCAAATCGGGCAGCAGCGGAGGCGGCCACTCCCACGGCGCCTTTGACGCCCTCAGCCAGCTCGGCCACGGCAAAGTCGCCGGCTCGCTATGGTCCCAGGTCCGCACCCGCGATTTGGACTCCATGTCTGGAAATGACGGCGAGCAGGCCGCCAACTACGTGTCCAACTCTCCTGCTCCGCGGACAAGCAAGATGCCCACTCCGCCGTCTTATACCTCGACGAGCGGAGGCGGAGAGGCAGCTTCGTACATGAACGAATCCAATACCTTCCAGGCAGGCTACAATGCCCCCCCACCCCCGGGACAGTATTACCAGGGCTACGGTCAGCAATCCCCTCCCGGTGGTCCTCAGGGATATCCGGGAACCCAGCAGTATGGTGCGCCGCCTCCGGGACAATGGCAGCAGCCGCCCCCGGGGTACGGCGGCTCACCCCCGCAGGGATATCCCCCTTACGGACAAGGTCGGCCGCCTTCTTGGAACCAGTATCCCGGCCAGGGACGCTATTAGATACAAGGGCGCAAGTTATGTTTGGATTGGAATTTGATTTCACGGAATTCAGGAAGTCAGGGGTTGTTGGCAAAATGAGGCTGCGAACATGAGATATGTCGATATGAAATACATGTAGAGACGAGAAAAGAGCCGTCGACGAAATTTTTCAAAAATTGTCTTCAAACCATCTAGGCAGAATCGTAAAAACATCAACCAAGTAGTCCATTTATATGTACATCATCAGTAGACCGTCTATGCAGCCAAGTATCTAGTGGTCGCTACATGCAAACTCCATCCAATGCTCTCATCAATCGCCACACCCAACCTCATGCCACGCATGACGAAAAAACTTTTCTCACAGTCACACAAGAAGGCTGGCACGAACCTCATCTCTTGCCCCTCCTCGGGTCCTGAGCCTCCGCCTTCCTAATGTCCCTAATCTCCTTGGTGCCCATGCTGCCCAGCCCGCCCTCGGACCGTCTCTCCCACCCGCCCAGCCGGACAACCTGGCAGGTGGCGTTGTCGCCGTCCTTGGACACCTCTGTCGCGTACTCGACCACGCTGCGCGCCCCTTCCTCGGGCGTCTTGGCCTCCTTGATGACGTCCACGATTTCCTGGTCGCTCAGGGTGCCCGAGACGCCGTCGCTCATGAGGACGAGGAAGGAGAACTCGGCGGGGCCCATCTCCACGCGGGTGATCTCGGGCTCGGCCGACACCCCGATGCGCTTGGACTTGATGTCGCCAAAGGCGCGGGAGTTTGCGAGCCCGGCGATGCGCTCCTCGCCAAAGGAGTCGCCCGTGACCATGGAGCCGGCGGGCGCGTAGCGGCGGAGGCGCCGGCTCTCCGTGGGCGTCGTGGGGTGGTGGTCCGACGTCAGGGGGTGAGGGAGGCCGGTGGCCGTCTCGCACAGCAGGATGCGCGAGTCGCCTACGTGTGCGGCCACGAGGGTCGAGTGCGAGGCCGGGTGCCAGAACGGCGCCGTCGTGGGCGTCGATATGAGTGCCACCGAGGCCGTCGAGCCGCCCTTGAAGCGCGTGGTTCCGCCGATGCCGTGGCCTGACGGCGTCGCGTGCGGGGCGCCCAGGATCTCGTCGTCGTTGAGGGGCTGGTCCGAGCCGTCCGGATCGGCTTTGCGAGCTTGCGCCGACACAAAGTCCAGGTCGGCGCGGAGGAAGGCGTACGCGAGGCTGGACTCGATTGTGATGGAGGCGTGCTTGCCCGCTTCGGGGGACGTGTCGAAATGCTCCGGGTTGAAGCGACGAAAGTAGCCGCCTATGGTGGTCCCGTAGGCCTTGACGAGGTCGCGCTCGAGTCTGATGGCCTTGTCGATGTTCTGCGACTCGGCTGGTGGTGATTTGGCGCTTGGGAGGGCCTGCCCGTGGTTCGGGTGGTCACCGACAAATCTGCGGCTGTCCGGGCTGGGCACGTCCATTTTCGTTTCGACGTCTTTGGCGGATTTCATATCAATGGAGTCAAGCGCTCGTTGTTTCGATGTCGGCTGTTCGCCGATTGCGGGCTTTTGCTGGTCTCTCCCGGGTTTTCTCTTGCGCAGGCTGCTTTGCAGGCCAAACTCAATGGCTGCCTCCTCGATGTATCCGTGTAGCTCGTCTCGTAGGAAGTGAGAACATTGTGTGCCTCCGTGGCCATCAAAGACGCCAAAGTAGAAGATTTGAGGGTCGCCCAACACGCTGTCTGCCGGGGTGGCTTCGCCTGGTTTTTGCCTCACGCTCATGGGACCCCTCTTTGCAAAGGCAGGTATGTCCACCGTGCCGGCCTGGTCCGTATCCTCATTATACGGCCTGCTCCCTCTGGCCGTCGCAGAGCCGAAATGGTGTTTCGCCCTCCGCAGCGGTATGCGAACCACCGTCAGGTCTCGACTTTGCATGTTGGGGATGGACACGGCGGCGGGAGACAGACCGGGACTTGGTGTATGGGGGGTCGACGCATCGCGGGGCAGTTTGTGGCCGGGGCCAATGGTGCGGTGCGAGTCCGGATGAAGCGACGACGAGGGAAGATGCGTGACGAAATACGTGTGGAAGTACTGTCGCAGTTGCTGGTCTGGGTATCGCGGCACAGGCACGTAGTTGTGGCGGCTCGTCACAAGCGGAGAGGTGCTTCGACGTTCCGCGCGAGTCTGCCGGGATGCGCTGCCGCCACGAGCCCCCGAGGTCGACGACAGGGACCGTGGTGCCACTGTCCCCGAGGGTTTTAATCGCGGACGTGTAGTGTCTCCTGCGGACGTGGTTCTAAACGCCGAACCTGCGCCAACAAGGGTTGCTGATGCTGTCGGCATGGCGACCCCCTCAGCCGCCATGTGAACTGCAGCTCTGGACGCAGAGCTCCGCGCGGCGTGTCGTATGGATGCCATTGAGGGGTAGAGACGATGCTGTAGAGTAGAGCCCGGCGAGGTCACGCATCAGCTCCCCCTGGGTAACCTAACAAAAGCCAGCCCGCTGCGAACTACAGCCATGGACCTGCGATGCAGAGCGGACGAGGCGGTGGTGGTTTGGCGGGATGTTGCTCTGCGGGCCGAAAGCTTCCAACCGATCAAACAAAGGGTCAGTCGGGACTTGATGTCGGCCTGAGGAATGTACAAAGCCGGCGTTGCGGGATGAGAAAGGCTAAACAAAAGGAGGCAAAGAAGCTTGGGCTGGATCGACATGGACTGTGATTGTTTGTTGGGTGGATTCAACACAGCATTCAGCATTCAGTGTCTGCCCCTGCCCAACATGGTAAAGCGCCAACTGGCCTGGCCTGGTCTATCTTGTACTTGGAGTTCTTGGACGCAGCTGGACATCGTTGCACCCCCCCTCAGATTAGATTGGACTACAGGATATTCGACTACGGCTGATGAGTGTGAAAAACAGCAGTTTTTGTATTCATGGCGGGACTTTGGACCTCTCGCCCTGGAGAACTTGGCCGGACGAACGTTGGAGAGGATGATTTGGCTCGAATTAGGACCCACCCCCGTTTCCCATGTCCCGAGTCCCAAGTCCCGAGTCCCGACATCTCGTAATGAGACATGAATGAGCACACGAGTTGCCACTCAAGCACCGCACATCTCCGAGCTCACGCACCACAATCACAATCTCCCATCACGGCCATGCTGCTCTGTCCCTAGCAAACCCCGATGCCATCCCCAACCGCAAAATGGGCGAGTCTGCACCCTCCGCAGACGCCGAGTCCTCCGATGGCCCCTCGAAACCCAGCAAACCACACATCCTCCCAGACGTCGTCAACATCACACCCACAGGTGACATCATCCTTTCCGTAACATTCGAAACATCCACCGAGACACTCAGGAAAACTCGCAAGGCAGCCCTACCTGCCTCCCGCAAAGCCAGTCTCAATGGCCAATCCACGCCGTCGCAGGCATTGAAGCCCAAGGTCACCATCGCATACCGCGTACAGCTGGACATGCTCAAGACATACTCGCAGTACTTTGGCAATTTGCTCACAAACCCGCAATTCCGGGAAGCCAAGCTTGTTACCGCTCTCCATGCCGACCTAGCTGCCAGAAAGATAAGGCCTTCCGAAGCAGATCCAGCTGAGCTGCCCCATGTGAAAATCACAGATGATGATGAGGCGACGCAGTCTGCGGGCAGGGAATCCGTCTTTGAGGATATGCTCCGCATTCTCCACCAGGTGCCTATCAAGACGACTCGCGCCGTCATGTCGTATGCGACCACGCTGGCGTTGCTAGCAGATCGGTTCGACTGCCGCGCACCTGTGTCTCGAGCCCTCACGGACATCAAGTTCAAGTGGCCCCTGACCAACACCCGTCCGTACGTGGACGATTCGGGACGCGTGACGGAGACGGAGAAAGTCTTGCGTCAGAAGATCCTCGTGGCATGGCTGGTGGGGCAGCCGCTGCG